CTCTCTCTCTCTCTCTGTTTTTGCTCTCCAAGAATATTCTCCCTAGTCACGCGATGAAAATTAAACCCGGAAGAAGGAAATATTTCAAGCCTTCCAATTCGATTTTATGCAATTAACGAACGAGAACCTCAATTAGCAAGCATACACTTTTCCCACCAGAAATTCTACAGTAGTTATACACATAATTAGCACACCGTGAATTGATGCGAAATAAAGCTCGTTTTACTGGGGAATTAGTTTCGTCGTTTAAATATTGCAATCTGTATTCAGCTTCGGTTTTCTACTGCAACACTTCTAATGCTACTTTCGTAATCGTCCTTCTTCTACTACCGTGTACCACTAACCAGTATGCATTACTACTGTGCCAGCAGGAAATGCTACTATTGTGTAACGTAGAATGCAATTTAATTCTCGGTGAGCTCAGCGAATTTCGTCGTCTCATTTTATTCCAATAAATATCGTAAAAAGAAAAAGATATCCTCTAATTTTAGTAAACAATAAATAGACAATATAAATATAATAGTAAACAATAAACAATAAAAATTGCCAAAATTGTATAATACAACTTCAGTTCAATCTAACTCAATTCAGTTGCTTCTGTTATGCGACTTGAGGAAAAAATTGAGAATGTGATGATTTTTTATTAGCGGGGGTGTCATGGGAACCTATCGGTCAGGCCGTTCTGGCCGTGGCCGAATTCGAACGTATAAATGCGTCTGATCCCGATCTGTATCGCTGGGTCGACCGGTACAAGCAACCAAAATAGAGTTACATTTAGAGCACCCGGTATATACGTGCTAGTAGGTCGCACCGAATGACCAAACTGTGCCAAAAGATCACCTTTCTTCCGTTCTTACGTGTTAACGTTAAGCGTGAAAAAAAAAGTCCTACGTCTCTGTATGTGGAATTAGAATTCTTTAGAACCGAGCAGCAGTTGGGATATGTCGTATACGAACAATTGCTATACGGCTCTGTTGTTCCACCGAATGAGAGAGTTTAGTGTTTCCATTGACGTGATCGCACGCGTCAAGTCGTATTTTCGTGTTCAACGTAGGAATTAAAGATCGCCAGACTCAGACGTCATCGAGTTGAACAAACACTCGATCGATTTAATCGATTGGATGCGTAAAATTACGTCAAATGCAAATTGGAAATTGCGATGTTTGAATAACAAACTAAACGTTCGTTTAAAATTATTTATACTTTATTGCGAATGGAAGAAAGCGCGCGGCGAATAAAGATGACGATACGAATTATATTTCCGCACGAGCAATGACATTTTCGTGACGATTATACATCGCGGCCAGCCTTGGAGGCCTCACTTCAAGGATCGGAACCAAGTATTGGATACTGCCAATGTCAATTTGGCTTGAAGCTTGTCAGTGCGATTATGCATATGCGGTATATACTTAAGCTAGCTCGAGGTATAAAGAAAAACAGCTAAACGCGTTCGCCAGTTCTCGAAATACGAAAGTATGAATTGAGCAATTGTCACTAAATTCCAAAGTAACATCGTTTATGACAACGTATCAATTATATATTCTAGTTTGATGGTTATTTTCATAATTGTCTTCTGGGAAACACGACACGTATTCTAAGAGTCTGCCAAACACGCGTATGTTCAGATAAAAATGTATGCCAACTGTATTTATACGTGAATAAAAATTATGATAACACGTTTCCTGTTCTTATCTAAAAATTACGGTCGAATCGTTGCACTAATATTGCAACAGCTTTGAGCTATTTTACTGGAATGATTAGAATCAGCAATTTCTTATTTTATGCTCAATGATTCATCTTATAAATTGAGATAGGGTTTTGCGGAGATGGTAACGAAGGTATTAATGGTTCGTCACATGCAGTCAGGAAATAACAGGATTGCCTGATCAGACGATGAGTCACGATCAACTGTTTACAATCGAATTATATATCGTATGATCGATCAACCGAAACGCAGTGTTTGTGCCAATCTCGTTTGCATACGATAAAAAATAACGATAGTTATTTAATTAATAATAATACGCTTCGGTTAGACTGCGGTTTTCATAAACCTGGTTTATTGAAAGTTATTTTGAATTACGAATCAAGTGCGCTAGCGCCAAGGAATATTAATAGCTGAAGCATCCACGTGCGTTTACTTATTCTACACCTCTACAGGCAGCGAACTTATTAATCTCGAAACGTTTCGCTCGAGGAAATGACAGAAACAAACTACTTCCTGAATGAAAGTCCGCCCTCGAAACGTCGATTGGTAACCGTCAAAGATTTCTTCATAAATTCTTGTCACTCATTGCTAGAAGATGAACACTCCCCAAATAGAAAGCTATTAATCGTCCAATCAAACAATCGATCAATCGGTACTACTTATTGACGGTTCACAAATGTATAATTATAATAGGCATTGAAATGGTCGTTCGCGAGGTGGATTGCCAAAGTTAGCCACAAGTTCGGTCTTTTCTAATGAAAATTTCTAACCGAGTTTTCCATTTGTATATCGACTCCTATTAGCATTCGTAATTAAATAACTTTTATTGGGCCAAAGAAATTAACACTAGATTGCCCAAAGAATTAATTTTGACTGCTTTGGGCAATATAGGTATATACTAAGTTTCAGTCTTTCTAGTGTTAATATTCTTTGGGGTGTCAGAAAGTTTTTGCTATAATTTCCTCCAAAATTAGATTTCCATTTTAAACTTTGTATCTTTTGAATTTATACTTTCTGCAGATTCTATTAACGATACAACTGATAAAATGAAACAATGACAAATGATAAAATGAATCTCGTGACGAAAGCTTGGCTCTGCAAGGGATGGAAAGGGTGGAAGAGTAACGCACGATGCAATTGTCCTTATTAGGTACGAAGCTACCCAAGAATCATTGAAACAACCGTGAAGGATGATAAAAAAGGTCGTGGGCGTCGACCGTGAGAGGACGCGGAATGCGAAACAAGTGGACGAAAGGCATTTTAGTCAGACGACGCAGAGGACGAGGAAACTCGTACTCCGATCGACCAATCGCGATTCGTTGGCGGGGGTTGTGCCATAAATGTCGCGTGTCATGCCACGGGAACTAGCCGATAGGTCGGCGCCACGGTACTGACGTCCGGTATACTAGTCCACATTTTTGGCGGCAGCCGCCCAGTCTAAGGTCCAATCCCCGAACCGAACGGTCGTCCGAAATACTTAGGTAAAAGGGGCTAATCACTAAATCGATCGATCTTCATCGTTTCTCCTGTATCCACTTTTATCTTGCGAACGAGAAAGTTTCGCCGGGAGTCACGCGATACTTCACGGTAGAACTAGGGGATGATAAGAGGGTAGAGAAATCGTGAGTGCGATACTCGAGGAGACACAAGGACGAGGAGGAGGAGGAGGAGGAGGAGGATCGAGGATCACGTTCGCAATAATATTTCGTGTGTGCGCCAGTGAAAAATATCATTTAAAGGGGAGGAAAGAACGCCTGACCTGGACCTGGCCGTATGAACTCGCTCTTCCTTTAACCCACAGACTGTTCCTCTAATCTCTCACCCTTCTCGACTGTGTTTTTACAACTAACTCATGTTGTACTAACCACTTAGAAACGATACTTAGGCGAAAATCATTTTCATAATGATTAAACTGCGGATTTTATGCATTCATGCATCCAACATACTTAATTATATATTAAACCTTGAATCAAAATCCGCAGTCTAATAATAATGATCGCCTCGTTTATAAAATCGTATTCAAATCACTGGACTTTTATGCATGCATAATTATATTACTATTTAATGTCGATTATAACACTGTATG